CCAATTACCGGTGCCTTCATGCAGCAAACAGGTCAAGTATTAGCCATAAAATTGGAAAAAATGATTTTGTAGCAAGAGATTATCGGATGGAAGAAAAAAAAATTACTCACAAAGGCATTCATGATGAAAATAAAAGTTGCTAATTTACCCATTGCAGAAATATGATCGTCAGAATGAATGGTTTAAACCATCTATAAATTACTGTCTGAAAACATTCATCATAAAGAAGATAATAACATTTTAATGTCGATCTAGTTTATCATATCTTGCTTCAATATACATTGTAGATTCACTTAAAATTTATAAGCCAAGAAACTGAAGGAATCCGTTGTGCTCTCCTCAAGATTCAAACTCTGAATCTTCCGATTGCTAGAGAAACGTAGTTTCACACTACGAATGCAAACGGTAAGGAGAGAGAAAATGCCTTACATTCTCTCCCACTTAAGAGAAGAACTGGGCAGGCAAGAAACAAAGTCGTCAAATCTAAGCTGTGATACATTATCACCCATTTCATTTTAGTTCAGGTGCCATTTGTAAAGCATTTTTGAATTTTTTTGAGACTAGGAAGTTGAAGGGCTTTCGCGGAATTTCAACTCTGTAATTTTCGATTGCTATTTCCAATTACATCACGAAAGCACTGGATAAAGAGCGAGAGAATACTTTACAATATATTTATTTAACACTGAAAATTGAAAAGAATAAGGTCGTGTGATCGTTTTATGCTGCGCCAATATGTGCGAAGAAAAATAAAAACTGTTAGCAATCGGAATAAGTAGAAATAGTAAAGAGTTTACCAGTGGAGTAAAATGTTTATCACCATAATTTATAAGCACGAATGACATCAGTGATTTTTAATAAATGGTTTTTGAAATCGAAGGATGATGTTCTTCTTCTTAGCAACTGCAAAACACATAACGTAAATGATACTTTTAAATACATAAAAGTTGCATATTTTCTAGTAAATATCATAACCTAGAAGAAAAGATTAAGTGTAATTTAAACTTTTAACTGACTGACTGAAACTAACTGAATTTAATTGGTGCCTGACAAACTACTAAAAATAAATACAATTCGCTTACTAAAAATATCAGGAACTTTGATCCTATATTGTGTAAAGTATGAGAGGAGGAACTGTTGAATTGATTAGCCAAATTCACATGCAGCAAACATTTCTTAAAATCAATTAACTCAATTAATGCAAATTCACACTTAATAAAACTTAACCTAAAATTTAAAGAGGAATAAATCTTCACTGGTGCTCGGGTAAAAATAGAATACTATCTCTCAAACAAAAACGTTACTTCAATTCACTTAAACTACATATTCAGTCATTTTCTAAATTATCTCAAGAGCAACAGGTTCAGTTACCTCACAAACATCAAAGAAGATTTATTCATAATACCATCAAACATTTCCTCAAAAGAAAAATCAATCAATAGTTTAAATACAATCCTGGCACCTAAATATCATTACTATTAAACCAATAACATATTGAAATAATTATAATATAGTGGTAAAATAAAAATGAAGGGCGCTTTGTGATTATCCTATTAAAAGATATTAACGATACCCGAAGGGGAAAAAATCTCCAAATTTCTTAAAACCCTGACGGCTCAAAAAACAAATGGACTGTCATGACAGACCCAAGCAAGTTAACAAAAAATAAAAAAAAGTAAATAAAAATAAACATTTGCAACTGAAAGTATACATTAACAGACTACCTTTCATACAACAGTAAATAATATTCTACATTATTTCTTTAATTCATTTATCCAGAACATATTTCAAATTTAACAGAAGAAACGATTATTTTGATTCTTCTATATAGTTATTTAAAAAAAGTTATAGTTATAGTTATAGAAATAGTTATAGAAAAAGTTATAGTTATAGTTATTTAAAAAAAGATCTCAAGCATGATTAGTGACAGAAGACGATATCTGCCAGTCACCATCTGAAACAAATTCAAGCACATCATTCGATAAACATTCTGACGAAGATTATGTTAGAACAGGTGAATTTCTTTTCAAAATTAGGATAGCGGATACTCTACAATTATTACAAGCATAAAAACTAAGGGTATAGCAAGCATAAAAATTTTCCAGAGACATTTTGAAAATGAATAGTTCATAAACGAATTTTTGCGTAACAGTTTCAGAAAAGCAACTATCAATTACTTTTCCATAATTACAATGATGTCAAAATAAGTATTTATACGTTTCTATTTTATTTACATTATATTAGTTAAATCCCATTGATTGTTTTAAGGATATTTTTCTCATCGCTTAATGTTATCGCTTTGGACAAACGTGATCGCATTTTAAGATGATCACGTTTGTCCAAAGATGGAGTTGTTCTTTAAAGTCTTCTTATTTCATCATTTATTAAAAGGCTGGCATGTTTAAAATAGTCCTTTATCATCTACATTGAGCAGCGTCTGCTGTAACTGTATTTAAAAATATCATTTGTTGCTGGTATACTTGTTCGTATTTCGAGATATCATTCGCCATTCAAGTCATTTTTGTTTCAAAAATTTGTTTATAAATCGACTTGTATATTATCCATTCTATACGTGAACCAAGGTTCCACTGTATATGAAATTATAATCCGGTGCCTAATGCATCAAATATGCATAGGGTTGCCAAAATCGCATAGCTTATCACCATTTATGTCAGATATATTTTAATTTCACACGAAACGCTTACATAATCATCCGATCAAGTCCACATAAATTTTTATTGTTTGTGTAGACGTTAGGTACGAACTTAACTTTTATTTTAAATGAAATATACTTAAAAATTCAGAGATTTATTAATTTAAAGCATATTTTCCAGTTTGCTTCGGTTTCGAAACAGATATTCTAAAAATTTGAAATTGCCATTACAGTTTCTATTACTTTTTTCAGTCGATAGTGCTTAATTACTATTAGAAAATTACACTTACAATAAAAAATTAAATTACAATGAGAAATTAAAATTAGAATCAAATTCCTATTAGTAGATTATGTCTGAAGCTTCAGAAGGAGTTCAGTATAAGAGGATTGACGTAATTCAATCCGAAGTCTCTTGCAGAAAAATAAGAAAAAAAAAAAAAAAAAAAAAAAAAACAGAATATAATGAATACCTGGTCACGGCGGCATCTATGGAAATGGCCAGGCAGATTTCCTTGTACGAAAAAGTGCATCACTATTACAGTAAACAAATTGAAATATGTCATATCAGTCAAAATATGCTAAACATAAAACAGTCTATGAAACAAAGACATGATTTGAAATTGTTGGATAGCATTGAGGAATGGAATGGAATTGCTGAATATCTCGCTTGCCTGCCTGAATATCCACGACGTAATGCTGTGCCGCTTTCTCGGCTACTTACAGGCCAAAATTGCCCGCGCGAACAATCTTTACCCAACTAGTATATTTGCTCAATCAAAATTTGCCCACAGTGTGATCCTATGGAACCTATCAACAGAGCCTCCCATCGTTGCTGTGTGGCACTTCTTAGGTATGAATCTGAGACTACCCGATTTTGGCATACCACAGACTGTTTTAGGCAATGGCTTTTGATCACTTCTGTTAAGTTTCGTCTTAGAACTTTTTGTTACATTTTGCCTTGCCATTAGAAAATAAAATAAAAAGAGCCGGAGCAGTCATCACATTTTACGGCTGTGCTGCCAATAATTTTCGTTGCTAGTCTTTATTTAGCGTTGGGTATAAGCCAAGCATGCTTCCAGAAGAGCTTCAGTTAGGAGTCCTTTTCTTTAAGATTCGTCGAACTAGAGAGAAGTTACTGAGGAAGATATGTTAGCATTTCTAAAAAAATTGAACTAAGAGACCTGCTAAAAATAGCTTTTAGTTTCTTATTTGCAATATGATCACTATCATTGTAGATAGAAATTTTACACTTCTTTAAGCTTTTGCTCAGATTGAATTTTTCTTAACTTTCAGCAGATACGTCGTTTCATGATTTCTCCGTAGCTAATATGCGTGACGCACGACAACGTTACAAAGAGTGCTCTGTTTGAAATTATTCAGTTGTTAATGTTAAACACAAAAGTCAAGATATTACTTGCTGTTTAGATTGGTAAAGTAAATTGAGACAGAATGAGGATAAAATTGGTTATTATTCACATTGCGATTTAAAAAAGATAAGTAAGTAAATGTAAGAAAAACATTAATGAGATTTGGATAAATAAATTAATTGATCTGATGCATACATATAATTTTTAAGCTAGTTTTAAAATTAAAATACTTTTAACAGTACATTTAATCATTCTAAATATGTAAAATGCCACATGCCACATTGTATTTTCTCTCCAGCATCGTATTTTCTCTTAAAACATAACTTTATTATTGAATGGGCATATTAAACGTAATGATGTGAAAATGAAATTCAATAAAATCAAAAACATCAAAATACTATATACTGTTATGTTACGGATTCTTAAATATTAAAGATCGACACAATAATAAAATATTCTGATTACTGACTTCATGGTAAATTTGCTGATTTTTCCATTGTGTACGTTGAGTTTAAAAAGGTTTCCCATAATAGCATCCCTCGGCTTTGACAAACACTCTTCCCGTAGTTTGGATTAGCTCACAAGGCAAACCAAAATAGTGAAGGCCGCATAATAATTTAATAAATTATCGCTTATTTTCCAACTTTACAGAAATTAGCGGAAATTAGTGTCATATTTTCATCAGTAACTAAACTATGACGACTTAAGGCCTTGCTAATCATCCTGTCAACATAATTTAAAAATTTAACCAATAAAATGAAGATTTTCTTAATATGTCAGTTTATTGGAGAATGAAGTAAGAGAATACAACTTATTTTCTTCATGTGCTTTTCTGTCATGAAATGATATGGTACACCAGCTGCCAGTTTGAATACAACGAATAAAATGTTACCTATTACTGTGTCATTTCCAAGCCATTTGTCAGAGTAAATTTTACTTTTATATCAATCAAGAATTTGATATAATTCCAACTCATAATAAAATCATATAAAGCTGAACACATGTGCTCGAGTTTAGTGTTTGGAGATAACTTGACGAAAGTAGGTATTCGCTTTGAGATCTTTCTTTAAATTCTAGGTTATTAAAAAGTAATTATTTCTTTCGGTACAGAAAGAATTAAAGATGTAATTTCTATTTCATTTAAACTTGTTTATGAGTGTTACTAATTAATTAAAATTATTTGATGTCAGTTTCTTACACAGATTTCTCTGCTTAAAACAACGTATTCTATTTTGGCCATTTTATTTTCTATACCTATTTTGTATACTTAAAAAGAATAATTGTAAGGAGAGAAGATCGTGACCAGCAGATATGTTATGTATCGCATTAAAATGTTCTGTGAAATGTAGAATAAGCAAAGGTTCTTTGCATGAGGTTTCCGTTTAAAATATCTGTCCTTAAAATTCTTTGAAAACCTACAGGATGATAAAATCCAGAAAGTATGTTTTGAACGTAGTAGATTTGTTTCTCTGAAAATTTTATTAAAAATTATTCCAACCTAACATTCATTTTTCTTCACAGATGAAACGTCGTTAGTCAGTAATAAACATGTGGTAATTGAAGAAGAAAGAAATTTGTTTTTAGATGCATCGATAAGAATCTTAATTCTGAAAATATTGAAGCATTTATGAACATTTAAGAAAAACTAATTTCAGAGGAACAAAGAAATAACCCCAAAAAGTAATCGATAAAATTCTTTTGGCATGAATATGAAGTTAACAAAGGAGATTTTGAAAGAATATCTCTAAATTTTTCGAGGAAACAGTTGAAGCTTTAGAAACATTTGGTCACTACTTAGTCATGTTTTTGCCTCACATTCTCGTTTCGATAAATTTGCAGTACCTTGGGTATTCTGTTAGGTATTCAAGAGCTATCTGCCTAAGGGGAGGAATGCCTTCGGGGAGGACTTCCTAAAGGAAACTGTTTCGTATTACCGTTATACATAGAGAAAACCACAAGAAAGCCCCACCCAAACGGTATAGTGGTTAGAGGAGCCTACTGCGAAACGAAAGTTCTAGGTTCAAATCCCGTATGAACTTCGTAAAGGAAAGGAATAGTAGATCCTCGGACAACCCCTCAGCGGGCTTTCCCTCAAAATTAGGGTGAAAATAGAAGTCCAACGTCCCTAAGGCTCTGGCAACTATTCTTACATAAAATTCATGGACTAGACAACAGCAACCACAAAAACACCCATGTAGCAATCCAGTTCGATGGGATTCGATATGAGGTCTAACTACCAGTATTTCACAAATTTATCGCTGGGCCAGTGGTGGGCTCGAATTTGGAGAAGTTATCTTAAAGGAATCTAAAGCTGAAACAAACACCAGATTTATACTATCAAAAAAGCATAAAGCTTTAATTATATAAATTATAAACGCAAACAATTTAAGCAGATATTTTAAATTTTGAATTATGTAAAATTATAAGTATTCACATAATATATGCAATCCTTAATATTATTATTAAATTATTGGGAATATCAAAACGAATTATGGTTCGAAAAGTGCTCAACTTTACATAAGTGCTCTTTTTATTTTTGCAAAATTAATTATATGTCAGTCCCTTCAACTGATATTTAAGCGAGAGTTTTATATATTAATCAAAGGCAGAAAATATTAGATAATTATACAATTAATAAATTAGTTACGTAGAAAATGCAGTATGAAAATTTACAGTGCACATATTGTTTATAAAATGTTTAATGTTTTATCATTTAATTCATGAAATGTTAAAATATTGAAATATTTTCTTGTTTGTAACGATTCAAGAAATGTGTCTTTCTGTTTTGCAGATGAACGTTCATTTAATTGCCATTGTTGTTCTTTTGTTGGCGGTGGAAGCCGTTCGTTCTGACACGTTACAAGGTAAAACTTCCATTAATTTATAATTATTTCTAGAGTATTAATTGCAAGTGAAACAATTTCCGTTTTCTAAAGCAACAATATTTACGAAATAGTATCTAATAAGTCTTGTATGAGGTAATCTGAAAAATTTATAATATGAAGAGAGATATTATTTCAATTTAAACAAATCATAACAATGTGTCGTAGTATTCCTTAAAATATTTTCCTACAAATAAAAACAATTATATGAGTTTTTTTTCTAAACGAAGTTTGCCAAGTTTTATATCTTTTTTTATTAATCAACTGAATGAAAACTGCATTTATGCCCTGAACGAATTTGATCTTTCTTTGACTTTTCTCTCGAGAATGCAAAGAGTAGATTGTAAAAGTATGACAAAAAGAAAGAACCTCACTTCATTGTGAAATTCAAAATACATTATTACAACAACATTTAGTAAAACTCTTTTAGTAACAAAAGTTATAAATATTTATTTTACAAAACAAAGTTATAGGTATGTATTTTATTATTCAATAAGTTTAATCTGAGTTCAAAAAAGAAGTTGAAGTTGAATATGATTAAGATTCCGGATATCCGGAATAAATGGAATCGCAGTTCATTCAGGTATTCAAAAAATCTGCATAACTGAATCTTCCGTTATGGGAAATAATGAATTCTCATTATAATTGCTATTTATTACAGCAAATAAAATTAACTATGACTTTTGCATTTAAAAATTAAAAATTAAAATACTCAACAAAATATTTAATTTGTCCTGTCATACTTTCTTTTTTCTGAATTACGATTTCAGATATACGCAAACAGGGTTAACATAAAAAAGCACGAATCTTGCGATTAAAAGATACAGCTGGTAGTAGTTAAGTTTGATGTTCTATCCATTGTCTTGCATGAATATTCAGGTGCCTAGCCAAGCTATTGCTGCGGCTAACTAAAAATAGAATCAAGATCTAGTTGGAGACAATGAAAAAGTCTCGGTAAATGAAATTTTCATCGACTTGTTTATCTTTTCAGATAAGAAAGCTTAAGTAGTTGTTTTCGACATGAAGTTTCGGATGAATTTATTTTTAATGATAGGAATAATTTTCTTAAAAGACTCAGGGACTAGCTACTGGAGTTACAGTGCTTATAGAAGTAGAATTTATGGATAGATGTACACACCTTTGTCCTATTATTTGTACTTGAAAGACAATCACCAGAAGAAACCTGTCATGCTGGCAATTATTTTCAATCAAAATTAAATAAGGACAACTACTTAGCCTTTCGAGGTACAATAAGTATTTTTATGAATATTCATAAAAATCTTAAAATAAGCTACGGACTAGTTTAGATTAAAAATCTTAAAATAAGCTACGGACTAGTTTAGATATTTCTTTCTGCATATCTTTGATATTGTACAAACGTTCACACCGATTTGAAATAATGAATATTATCGCCAAAGCTCTAGGAAGTGTCATAAAATAATGTAATTACTTATGTACTTTAAACTTCAATGAATTACGTCGTATACGTTTGTAGAAAATCTGTGCAAAGAACTGTCATTTCATGCACTTTGCGCAAACATTTTACTTTAAAATTAATTAAATTTTTTCTAGCTTTCCCTTGTGAGAACTAATTGCTTACCTTCTACGTGACAACTGTACGTGTAGTAAGTTCGTTGTAGGAACTTCACAGGAGAAGTGTTAAACGTACCCTTTATTAAACTCTTTAAAATTCACAATGCGTCAACTTCAAGCTGACACACTACGCCTCGTTCGGGCGATAATTCCAATCACAAGAACTAAAATAAACACTCGAAGATATTAATAAGTCGTAGAAATCACGTTACAGAGCTAAAAAAACTGTTATTTAAAATCGCGTCGAAACTAGAGGCAGCGAAGTAAAAGCTGGCTATGGCACGTAAACCAGCAATAACTGCGGAAGTAGGAGCTCACGCAACAGAAGTGAATTCAACAGCCTTAACTCCCTAACTTTCCTTCTAAAACTCGGTATTTATACTTTTCTCCTCAAGTTAGAATTTGCATTTCTTAGCGCGCTACCAAATTTAAATATTCTGGCATTGACAATTAGGGGAATGAAGGCTTATAAGAAAGCTTAAAATTAAACTTAATTTGTTAGTTTAAATAAATAAAAATCCCTAAATCCTAATTTCGCCTTTCATTGAAGTGCTGTTAAAAATTGTTATGTTCGCTAGTTTCTGAATTGTTTTGGGGGTTTTAACTATACGCATAAATTTGGACCGGACGCATAAATTTTGAATAAAATTTGGACCGCATAAATTTGAATTTTAATCAACCTTATAAAGTTGATTCAAAATTAAAATAAATTGTAAAGCTATAAATATTAAAAAAATATAAAGATATTTTTATTATTTAGAATATATATTTAAAACATTTTTTCTCTTTCAGACGCTGGTCTGCTTCCTGAAGCGAGAGAGTATGTATAGGAATTTACATTCTTTCATGAATTTAAAAGAATATCGATAAAAATGCTGATGAAATTCTCCGTCATGCAAATATTTCCATTACATACACCTCAGATCAACGACAATTTTAATGACATATATGAATAAAACTAATCTATCCTTTAAAATGTTTACTTAGCTATTTTCTTATTTTTCTTTATGTTCATCGCATAATCATACTATGCATATTGTCACAATTTAGGAATATTGTCAGAAATACTTTAAAGTGGTTTAAAAAATGGTGGGAACTTAAAAAAATTACTAAATTTTGAAGGAATAAATGATTAAAAAAAGAAGAGCAGCTGGAGATATTCAAATAATGTAAATTTATCATTCAGGACAAACAGTCCTTTAATATAAAATATTACATTAAACTTTCTTTGGTTTATTTAATTCCTGCAAAGTACGCAACTGTCTAAGGAAAGATATGCCTTCATGGAGGACCTTCTAAGGGAAAATTGCTCGTATACGCATTATACATGGGAAAATCCATGAAACTCTCATGTAGTCAGTCCGTTCGCCTGGAATCAGACCTAAGTCGGAACTACGAGTGTTCAGCGACTTTACCGCTCGCTAATATCATATTAAGTGAGTCAATATTTTTTCTCACAACAGACTTTCTCTATTCGAATGTTTATATAAATTTATCCATAAGACCGTTTATGAAATGTTATCTCAAGCTCGTTTAAAGCTATAATATGCTATGATCGTAAATTATCAGTGAAGGTCTGAAATTATCTCATGATGAAACACTTCCTTTCATTATTTCATCGACTTCGATGTACTTTAGATTTTTCAAACCAATTCCCCCAAATAAACAGCTTTATGGATCTGCCGATTTCATAGGGACCTCGATTTCGTTTCGACCGGCTGGAATTGAGCATTGAACACGTGGAAAAGCATTGTAAGCAATTATGCATTTTTCTATTAAAAGGGTCATCTCCAGTTTAATATGATCAAGTACTCTTACATTTGAGCAATTTACATACATTTCAATCAAACTGATAAATTCTTATATTAATTCCTCAATCGTCAAGAGGTAACACACACCTACTGAATTGCTTATTGGATATTTCCTTTAGAATTCCTAATATAACTTTCGTTAGACTTGCCAGCCTTCATATCTTTACGCTTACATCTTCATATAATATTACAGGAAAACTTTAGACGTTGGGAAATGCAGAGGAGGCACATAATTAATTTTAACTTTGGAAAAAGCAGAATGTTGAATAGGAAAAATATCGAGAGATAAAGGAAGAAAACACGACACTGATGTAGCCTAATCATTAATTAATTATAGTAATCGCAACAGAAGGCTCTCTTCAAAATTTTATGATCAAATAGGAATTCAAAATTATCTCATGTCTTCCTTTAGACCGCTGCATTCTATAAGTTATGGAGAAATTATAATTAATAGTTACTCTTAAAAATTTTTAAACGTATAATTTGTTAATTTAAAACCTTACAAAGTTATTCTGAAATCTAAATTATCCAAATTACGAAACATAATAATTAAATAAAAATTATAAATCTAGTGAAAAATGACTAAAATGTTTTAGTAACACCACTTAGTTGGACCTATACAGAACATACCAATTAATTACAGGAAATTTTAAGTTTTCTTGAACTATGAAATGGAAAATTATACCCAACAATTCCTTCTGCACAAACTTTAAAGAGAAACAAATCGAGATATATACACAGTTTTAGCTATTTTTTAGCTATTCGTCTAATGCCATCCGATATTCTCAAGAAATGTCTTTCATTTTTGAGTAACTTTTAATATGCCTTGTTAATCAAAATATGATTTTTGGCTCAATACGATTCGTATACCTAAACTATGGAATAAATTTTCCGCGTTTGTTTGTATTATCTAGATTTTAAATAGTCCGTTAGCAAGTGGTTACACGGGAAATATCAACTGAAATTCTCAAACATGTGGATTTTTAGTTTGGTGCTCTGAATTTTCTGTTTGGTGTTCTGGTTGCTGTTAAATAGCCTTCATAGCGGTCATCATCTCTGTCGGGCTTGAGTTCGGTAGATATGTCTCGATAATCTATGTATAATCTGTGTATAACGTCTGTGTTACTAAGAAAATAATTTCTCAAGAAACTCAATTCATGTGTTTAAAATGATTAAGATTTGTGCTGTGCATTATTTTTTTTTATTCTTCGTAATAAATATCTAGATAATATTTCTAAGCTAACGTCTGTTGTACATTTTAATGTTTACATAGTACTTATTGCATCTGGATCTTCTGCTCTACGTTCACCAACTACGAGTCATTTTGTTAGTGAGAAGTATCTAAGACATACGTATAAGCAGCTGTTACAGGTACCAAAATAACTGTTGCTCTCGAGGTTCCACTGAGGTAATTGGTAATTTCTGAGACACTACATATGTTCATAAATATTCTATGTTTAACATAATAAAACCTTTACAGTTATATATCGCTGCAAGGTATCAGTAAAGCCTTTACAGTTTTTCATACGTCTTTAATGAAAAGGCTTAGAAATGGAAATCATGAGGATGGGGGTATACACAAGTCACCAGAGTAGTCGCAAAGCTGATTCTGTAATATCTTTGCGCAAAGAAGAAATTCATTATTTTCTGATACAGAACTATTCGCAGATGGGAAAATAAACACTCATAAGAAGGCGCAAATATAGTTACATTCGTCGATGCTGTCAAAGAAGTTTCGATTGCATTAAGGCGCAACAGCCAGGCTCATACGTTGACCAAGCTATTACTAGCTTGCAAAAACATTTATCAACTGCAGAGGTCGACAGCAGAACACGATTAGATGAAAAAGGCCTATTTATTCAGAGCAGTTATAAAGGGAATTCTTCTGACAGGCGACTTAGCCCCTGTCATTCTGAGTCCAATGGCGATACCTCCTGTGCAAGCATGTCTCATTTACGAATGATGGTATTTTTTTTCAGGTATATTTTGTTACAAATCAACAGTGGTATATGTCATTTATCAATTGCGGAGGAGTAGTGGTATGGTACCTATGTTGCTTGATGACTCCTGAACACTAAGACATATGGTAGTGAATTAGCTAATTGTTTGAAGTAGGTGATAACGATTATCTGCCCTCTCTTATATTTGTTTTGATTTAGCATATTCTAGTATAGCTAGATTAGTGAAAACCCTAAACCATGTAAAGATTTGTCCCTTAGCTTACTGAAAGTTTCATTCTTATGGTTCCTGCAATCTAAATGCTATTTAAACTATATTGCTCATGCTGTAAATTACTTAATGAATATAACTTTCATTATATATATTTAATAAATATGATTTACTTACGAGTTAATGAATAGAAGATGATTTTTAATCTAGCGAGCAATTATTAGATTTCCCTATAATTCCCACTGCAGTTGGAAAGGAATTACAACTCAATGAAGAAAAGAAGTTTTACCATTAAAAGTATCAAATTTAAAATTACTTAAGGTGCTTTTAAAGTTGAAAACCTTTATGATATTTTATGTGAGACATATATTTCTCCTTTTCTTTAATTTGCTTTAAATTCCATAAAATTTAATACAGTGTTAGTTTTGAACTTACCTGGTACTAAAACAAAAATGAATTCAGAAGAAAATCGTGCTAGCAATAGCAAGTATTGGAAACCATAATCCAGATGCTTTTACCCCCAGATGTTCATTATTAGCTACAAATGATAGAGCTAGTTTCGTTATTTTAGTAATGCTTTAAATTTTACATAATGTTTGGAATCCATACCACTCAATTTGACTATTGATTTGAATATAAGTTTGTCGCTCTGAAGCAGCTGTATATGTTTCAATATAAATTTCTGTGTGTCCCTCTCATTTAATATTCACTCTCTAGATCCTTTCCAAATGAATGCGTACTTTAATTGCTATAGATATGCACTACGGCAATAGATAAATGGTATAGTAATGTTACAGTGGGTCCCTATACGTTGTGGTAGGCAAGGAAACAAAATAGATGATTTCCTATGAAAAGAGAGCACCTATCGTTCTTAAAAATACCTAGCCATCTTCTATATTTTATTTTGGCGAAACGCATGTTAGGAAGTGATTGTATGGTAAAGCCTGATCTTTTTTTCTACTAAAGGAAAGAGATGAAGACTAATTTAAGCAAAGAAAATGTTATTCCTGATCTGCCTGTTCTAACGGCATCATATTTTAGATTTCTAACAGCTCATGAATGTGGGAGTACACATTTAAACTTAACTGATGCTTTTCTGTATATTTTATACATGTCCAAAAGTGTTTAAAACAGAATATTTAAATATATGCACTGCGTTTCAGAATTATAGTTTTATCTGTAAAACGTATCGAGGGTCCTAACCAAGAACTCAGCGATTACCGTTTACCACTTTTCGTTTGCAACCATTTCACTGGACGAAAAAATCAGAATCTCTAAGTAAAGTAATATTTGATAATTTCGTATATGAAATTATCAAATATTGATTACATACGCGCAAAGCCCGATTCATATACGCGCAAAGTTGCCCAAATTAAAACAGTCTAATTTAGAGAAATGCGACATTTTACATTATCTGGCAATTTTCTCATTTAACCATTAAATGAATGAAGTTTTAATTTTTTGTGTCACATAGAATATACGTAAATGTAAAAGATGTCAGTACTTGTTCCTGTCCCTTTTCTTATGGTTTCTATCTTAGATACAGTTCGATAACTAATTTTGGCTTTCTTTTAATCAAGGCGATGTGCTAAACCTAATGAAACCTGCTCTAAAGGTCGTAGAGGAAGTGGACCAAGTGAATGCTGCCCACCTAAAGGTTGTTCTTGCAATCCTTTCACTTCGTATTGTGATTGCAGTTGGGACTCGTGGTGGTAAATCATGAAGCTGAGCAACTCCTTAAAGAAGAAACTCATCCCGAAACTCCAGATTCGAAAGCTAAAAAAATTTTTGGAATTTTTGGAAGATGTACTAAAAGCAAATAAAATTAAGAATTAGATTTTGTTTCCTTGATTTGCTTTTTAACATCATAATTAATTTTCCTTTAAAAAACAATTTGTAATATGTTTCATTCGGTATTTTAACGAATCTAAAATAAGGCCGCATACAGTTATTTAGATTATTATAAAAATTTAATTATTTAATTATATAAATCTAAAATTTGGTAAAATTATGAAAAATGTTTTTAACTAATGCATTATGACGTTATAAAAAGTTGAGGAGCCAAATGTTATAAAAATACTATTTGGTACTCTTAATTTTTCTAAGCATATAAGATATTTGGCTGAAATTATTGATACAGATCCAGTTAAAATGCTCTAAGACGACCATCCAGTGTTCCGGACAATGTCTTCGAGGAGGTGATTACCTTAGAGAAGCAGAAAATCAGTAATAGCAGTTATTCATTTGCATCAAGGACTTATCCTTTTTAGGATTTTTGAAGTGTGCTAAAAAAGTGCTGAACTGGAAGTGTCATATATAGGCTTATTAATACAGATGTATTAATAAAAATATGAACTGATTAATAAAATAAGTAACAAATATTCTCCCAAAAATAAATAAGTAACTAGTAAACTATGCATGCTGATTTTCTATACTGTAATTAAGTAATATTTTTAAATATGGAAAAAATCGCTAGTATAGAACAAAAATAAGGTTAAATAAAACATTAAGTGTAAATTTTGTTCCTTATTTTATTCTCACATTTTATTAAAATATTTATCCAATGCAATCCATCAATGCCCTCTGAAATAACTTTCAGTTATCTTGTATAAATTTCAGTCATATTTATAAACTTAAATTTTTAATCTAAAATTAATAACTTGAAATTTACGAAGAGGGAAACTTACAAAGGCAGAGAAACCGAGAGATGAGGCGAGATATACATAGATACATACAAAATGCATTTTCGAAATTAGTCAGATCTATTATATCAAAAACGAAAATTAACCGCTTTACCGCTTTTGGCACCATTGAACTTTAAATTATTATTATTAGCTGTTCAGGCAGCAAATGAACAAATTAATATAAGCAGTAAATTTAGTTCCGTGTTTCGCATTCAGCATAAGCGTATGCGATAAATTACATGAAGGAATAGATAGCCTTCGCATGCTTTACTGTATTCAACTAAATAAACAAGAAAAAAAACCGTATTGAATTAACGTACTAGAAACGCATATATGAAGTGGAAATACAGTGTATGAAGTACTTTAAAACTAGTTACGAACAAAATATATACATTTTTGATCGCTTTGCTACATACATATTTGATGAATTCATTCGGACTAGAGAGTTGACCATAAAAAGTAAATATCTAGGGAAAGGATTTTAAGGTAATCTGTTTAATGAAGCCAATTTAAGGCAGCGGCTACAAACTCAAACTGCATGCGCGCCGAATACACAATCTGAAGAACATGATTTTTTTAATTAATAAAATTATGCTTGTTGGCTATTTTTTGTAATTCAAATGCGTTACCAGCTAAATAATAAATTTTGAGGTTAATATTAATTTAAATTATTCAACCTAGTTAGTGCTTAATTCAGTAATTTGAATACTAAATAACTAAAGTTTTAACTTAAATGGATATAAAAAAATCTTTCCAAAACATTCCAAGGGGGACAAAAATATTTAAATAACAACCTATTCTCTTTTATATTTAATTAATGTTTCTTTAACCCACCGACTGCTCAATTTGTAGATCGAAATCGCTTCCAAAATTGTGTTTTTTTTTCTTTTCTTTTTTTTTTTTTTTTTTTTTTTTTTCGCATATTTTAAATCTATATATATATTGGAAAAGTAAAAAATGCACTTTTTCTTTGTAGAAAATATTTTGTATATAGATTTTTATCATGAGAAACTAATTTGCCAGAAAAACAAATTTCAGATATTATCACGAAAAAAAAAATCTTTTTTAAAATAAATTTTAGTCGGATTACAGTTAATTTCTATTTATTAGATAATATATAATAAAGTAAAATGTATAAAATTTAAGAAAATATAAGCTCTGAGGGGTGAATACTTTAGAAATGCAGTTTAGTATGATAGAGTTCAAAACAGGATTCAAGGCAAAGTCTAACTTCACAGTTTTTGCACCAGATTCAATAAATCTAATAAATAATCAATCTAATTATTAATCTAATCAATAAATCTAATTAATAATTCAATAATTTAATTAAATAATAAAGATAATCGCTGAAAGTTTTATAGCGGCCATTTCTGTAAGAAAAAAGGGCAAAATGTGAAGTTTGAGCGCTAATACGACGTGCCTTCAAATGCCGCAATTTAGTGGACTAACGATATCTGTTGGTCAAGATGTAAACTAAACCTAATACTGTATATAATTTATTTCAATGGTTAAACGGGGAAAAAACGGAATGCGCTCCTCAATAAAGGAAGAAAAACATATGCCAGTGGAAATCGCGAGATGATCAGTCAGAGGGTAATAGCTACGGAAAAAATAAATACATTTTTTTTATGTGAACAATTACAAACTTCGTTACCCCTTGTTATAGCTTGACACTTGATCAGATTTCAATTGTGATAGTCTTAAAGGAAGAACATAAAATGTTTTGAGATTATTACAAATAAAGTGTACATTTTACTGCTAACAACATGACGAACGTATATAATTTCCCATTAATTTTGGAAATAATGTCTTTCTTCTCTGAGGTCTTTAACCCGTTGTTAAATAGTTAAATCTCTTAATTAAAATCTTTATTATAATTTTATTTACGAATTGAATTCCCGAAGATCTCTTTAAGCAGCATTCAAATGTTATGCAAGTTTCCAAAGATTAGTAATGGTATATGGTAGATCTAAAAATGTACAATTAAACAGGTTTTATAAGCCGTACGTTAGTTTACGGCTATATAGCAATATGAATTGCACAGCTGTGCATCCAGCTCAACAATTAGAGACTGGTTCAAAAAACGTATATATCAGAAGTACTAATTGAATAAGAAAAAAAAATCAAAAGCATTCAAAAAAAAAAAAAAAAAAAAAAAAAAAAAAAAAAAAAAAAATCAAAATCAATTGCACCCCGTTCTCTGCAGACCATAATCTTCTGCAGAATATAAACTCCGCAGTATGTAAAATACGATGTACCTCAACTCGTGCCCTTCTGCAGTCAATAGACTCCCGCAATATCCCAGATAGAACCATAAGTAATAGACCACACTTTGAATGACAGGAACTTCTAGTGGAAGTGCCTTTTCCGACGTATGTAACTTGCAGCATGTAACAGAAATGCCCCCGATGGGTCCGAATAAAGGTCATTTGTTCATTGCTTGTAGTTTACTGAAGAGTAGGTTACCAAGTTCGATGACTCTTGGAAAAGAGTGGAGTGGGAACTAACGAAGCAAATTTCACGCTTCCGGTATAATAAAATTGGCATAATCGTATAAAAGGACATAATTGTGTTTACTGGCTAAGTCCAATCTAAATATGGTCGATGAATATGATAATAAAAGTCCCAGTATTATGGTTTTGGGAAATGTTACGTGCCAAGGTCTGATTGGCCCTTTCTTTTATTGAAGATGGTATCTGTGGTGTATCGAGAACTTTATCATAATCAAACTTAAAGCTGGCTCAGTCCAAGCATCTCAAGCGCGCGAAGTAGTTGTAAACCAGAACTAAGACTGGAATGCCGGTAGTTGTAGTGATACGTGTGTATGCGAGAATGATGTGTTTTGAACATAATAAAGTAGCATGTAATTAAATCTAGTGTCTTATGAAATAATTACCCACTAAAGGTATACAACATCTGGTAACGATGGATGTGGGCTTTTTGAAATTAATAAAAGCGCCTTTGAGACATATTTTAATGCTATCGGAATACATTTGGATTAGGGAATTCCCCGAAGACTGTTCAAGGTAAAGCTTTTATAATCATTTTTTCTTTCGGACGATTCACCATAGAGCAGCTTGTAACTGAATTAATACAGCAAAATAAAGCTCTAATGGAGAGACGTACTTCACTTATTACTCCACAAATGGCGATTCGAAACTTTTGGTTCAGTTTGAAAAATATAATGAATACGAAGAACAGGTTGATTCATTTTTAGAAAGATTCGAAAATTATTTAGATATACAAAATGTTTCACAGGACAAGCTTGGGAAAGTACTGATTTCCAGTTTGTCCGGAAAAATGCATAGTCTTTTAAAAAACCTACTGGCTCCTGATAATCCTTCCGATACAGATTATGATGCGTTAAAAACAACAGTGAGAAATCATTTAAATCCTAATCATTAATCCACTTATAATTCCTAGCAGGCATGTATTTTTAAATCGAGAGCAGCACGAAGGGGAAACAATTAGTGTGCATATGGCAGAGTTAAGTTCTTTTGTTATACTGTGCGCTTACGATCAGAACATTTTAAATACGGTGTTGCGGGATGTATTTGTTAGTGGGCTAAGAGAGACAGTTATTCTGGATAGAATTTTTCAGCAGGATAATATCAGATGACACTTTAAAATTAGTTTCGGTAATGGGAAAAGCTTTAAAAGGTGCAAAGGAAATAGTTGGGAAACCAGTGGAAATTAAGGAACTAAGCGCCAGGAATGGAGGTAAATCTAGATCATTTGCTCCAAAACAAAAGTCTGAACAACAAAACTTCTGCAAGGAGTGCTAAAGGCAAATTATGTTCGCGATGTACAGGGACTGAAAATGATAGAAATTCTTATAAATTTAATACAAGTATCTGCAGATTTTGTAAGAAAATTGGGCACATTGAAAGAGCATGCTACAATGCTAAAAACTCTGAAATAATGAAAGCGAAACAAAAGCAATTAGACGTAGGAAATGAAAATTCAGTTCCTATAAACAGCATACATTCCAGTGAGGTGAAAAATAGGAAACCGCTCATAATGGTCCAAGTGAACATAGAAAGGAAAACCGGTAGCTATGGAACTGGATACAGGGGGTGCAATATCGGCAATGAGTTCAATTTAAAAAAAATCCCGCAAATTTCGAAAAAGTTAATTCAAATTACAAGTCTGG